GTGTGCCTCGGTTGATTCCTGGACGAGGGCTTAACACACATGTAAGCGTTTGGAATTTTGGATAGAAATTCCGGGCGTGACAGTGTAGCTGATCCCTAACCACTTCAAGGGCCCCTAAATGAGGAACCGGCTTTTCTAAAGTTGTGGTTTTGGCCTCATTACGGAGATGGATTCTCTATGCAATGATTCACTGTTTAGTCTTGCTGAGAAGGAAACAAGGTCGCCAAAGGCAGCCACCTGGAAGACTTACATTTACAATGCGGGTAGCTTCTTCCGAGTGCTTTCTTTAGCTGGCGCACCTCTTCGTCTTCTTTCTGTCGATTTATGACAATGCCTGCAGGTTGCAAGTTGTCGTCCCACCATTTGATTAAGATGGGGGGACGAGAATCAGTAGTTGCCTTTATGCGAGGGATTTCTTCTCCGTCACCGCCTAGTGGTCCTGATGTATTCCCAAACATTAGACAAGCAAGTCGGAGTTATTCAGATTGGCATTACTTGAGAAGATGGGTTACCTGAAGCAATTTCCGGTTGAGCGTGAGGCGATCCTTGCCCTTTATCTGGGGACCCAGGCGTTGGGTCGTTACCAGCGTCCAGTCCTTGGGAAGTTGTAGCCTGAACTTCAACTTCAGGAATTTCTTGATCTGGACCTACTTCCGATTGATTGCCAGTCGGGGGCTCTTGGCTTGTTGCAGTTTCCGCTTCTGCCAACTGGTTTCCAGTCGGGGGCTGGTCGCTTGGGTTGACATAATCAGTTGAAGTCTGAACGCCAGTCGGGTGGTCCTCAGAAGTCGGCCCAGCTTCTTTGGATGAACCTGTCTCTGTGTTAGCTGGATCAGAGTCCTTCCCGGATGGATCTATGTCAGACGGTTTCCTGCAAGTTTTCTTCCAGTTTTCAATATTATCTTCATGAGAGAAGCATGTCGAAGTGAGATGGTACCGAATGGTTTATACCTGGAGGATTTTCTGAACTTTTTCTTCTTCGGAGCAGTGTGCTTTGGTAGTTTTTTGGGTGATCCCTTATCCCCAAATTTATTATTGTCGTCGCCTTCGTCGTCGCTTAGCACAAGTTTTCTCTTGCGAGAATCTGATTGCCCAGTCGGATTGGGAGTTTTGGATTGGGAGTCTGACCTGATTTTTGGTCCTCCACTCCCCTGAACGGTCTGATGACGAGGAGATCGGCGTTGAGCAATTGGGGGGTCAGACTTCATCAAAGCAAATTCCTGAATGAAATGCCTCCACGGTCTGTTAATTCAACAAGAAGACAAAATTATGTTTTGGTCGCGGTTTGAAGAGTTCTGATACATACCAGCGGAGATGGGTTGAATGCATTATATGGCACGACTGGCAGCAGATGCAAATAACTGACAACGATGGCGTTTGAGAATATCTTGTACATCCTCTCCTTCATGATCTTAAGTCCAGAGAATCTGGGTCTTCACGGTTTGGATCATGTTTACCATCAAACTCGAAAGCTGTGCGGGATCTCTCTTTGATTGGAGCTAATCGGCACTTAATGAAATGCCGAGTGATTTGCTCTCCCTGCAAGCCTTGCTCCTTGAGCTTCAGCATGCGCTCCATCAGTTCTAAGGCTTGGGCAGCTTCATCTCCCATGGGCAGTGAGTTCCAATTATCTTGGTATACTAGGGGAAGACAGGAGTACTCGGGAAGAGCGGGCTCGGGATTTTGGACATAAAACCAGTTGGCATGCCATCCTTTGTTTGAGGTCTTGAAGGGCATAGAAAAATACTTTTGGCTCAAGGTCCCTCTCAGTTGAAATCCAGCCCCTCCAACTACGCATGGTTTGCTTTTGTTCGGTTGGGGCTTGAGGAAGAAGATTCGGCGGAACAGAGCAAAATGAGGCCTAATGCCCAAAAAAGCTTCGCAGACATGGACGAAATTTGCAATATGGACTATGGAGTTTGGATTCAAATGATGTAAATTGATTCCATAGAAGTTCAATATCCCACGGAAAAACTTCGAGGTTGGAAGAGCAAATCCGCCATAGAAGAAGTGAGAAAAAAACCACGACCTCATGTGTATCGGGGGTCAGGAAAGCTTCACCAAATGCTGGCCGCCATCCGATGATCTCCTTTGCTGGGAGAACGCCGTGCGCCACCATCTCCTTCAAGTTCTCCTCCATCAAGTCGGACGACGCCCATTGGCTTTCAAAGCTTTCTTTTTCTTCCGCCATCGATTTGATCCGAATGAGTTGATTTGATTCGAGGGATGGCTGGGGAGAGATGTGGAATTGAAGCGATGAGTTGCGTGGAGGATTTTTGTGAACTTTTTGGAGGTGGATTGGAGTGGAATGGTGAACCCTAGTTTCGCCGGCGCAGCTCTGTACTATAGCAAGGAATGGGGGAAATGGTGAGAGTTCCGGCGGGGAAGACGAAGCGCCGCTTAGACTTCGGGATTTTTTGTTAAGGGTTTCGGGGGTGCTAATGTGCCTAGGCCTGAACAGTACTTCAGCCCAATATTATTAACAGCGTGGCCCGTTGTGCTCCTTAGGGACTTAGGCATTTTTGCTTTGGCAATTTATGCTCGCAATGGTGTGGCCCAATGCTGATAAAATCCTTTTTAATGCAGTTATATAATTCTTCGGAATTATTGCAATGCAAATTGAAATGTACTCGACAGAAAAGTGTTATACTATTTTTGTAAGCTTTTTTAGGCTGCAAAAGCTATCTGGGTTGATTTGAGATGACTTGTTTTTACAATGGTCATTCTCTTGGCGTGTTATATGCCTATTTTAATTATGGTGAGAGTCATAGCCTAGGCTATTAGACTTATTAATTACCATAATTTTTATAACATTTGATGGATTATCTTTAGAGTTTTTTACTCGGATGCCTGTCAAATATGTTCATTTGTGAACCTTTTAGAGTGTTATTCACTCGGATTCTTTTTACTATGGCTGGAAAGCAGTCGGCTGAATGTTTTGTTGGACGCCGCATATGCTTTTGTCATATGATGCATGATTATGCGATTATTTTGTTCTTGACTACATGTTTAGTTTGTTAACTAATCATATAGTCGGGGGCAACACCTAATTAGGTGCATCTATTCGATGCACCATGTTTTTTATTTTTCGCCCTTTACAGTCTTCGTCTTTGCTACTCGGCAGGCCTTAGCAGGGAAAAATTAAAGCACTCGGATTATTATTTTTGAGAGAGCTATGTTGTCGACTGCAAAGGTCTCGGGGGCTACTGTGGAGATTATAGATACCCCATATTTACACGGCGGTTATATTTAGACTGGATATATGATACCGAATATAGATAGAATATCTTTATTTGTATCTCGGGTTTGTTTCTTAACTTGTACGTCAAGGAAATACCCTGAGGTTTAGTCGGTTACGATTGTATTTTATCTGTATTCTCGTATTCTGTTAGGGGTATGAGTTATACCTTGTAATACGGACTCCTTCCTCTATATAAGGAGGGGTCCGAGTCCTTCCTGGGACATCAATTTTCTGGGAGATCTTACATTCAATAATACACTCGGCGGTTTCATCCCCGGACAGGAGTAGGGTATTACTTCTTGAATAAGAAGGCCTGAACCTGTATAAATCCTTTGTCTCCAAACCCATGCACTTTTCCAGCTTGATAGCCACCCCCTTTTAGTATTGCCGAAATCTTGTTTCGACACAAACCCTGCATGGAAGCTGCTACAAAAAGAAACAATGAGAATGAAGGAACCCAAATCCAGCCACTCAAAGGAAGTTAAAAGTTCAACCAATGGCGAAAGAACTGTTGTCTTCTTGGGTCAACGGGCAAGGTTGGGGAAGAGGAAACCTGCAAAAGAGGGCTTGAGGAATCTGGCTTGGGAGGGCTATCAACCACCGAATCGTGAGGAGATGGGTGGTGGAGGTTGAGCTTTGGGCATATCAGCGGTGGGGTCAACAATGACATCGTCACAGCAGAGGACGACCCGAGCAACAATGGCATCGTCATAGGGGGCGGCGAGCTGCAAGATCGCCACCGCCGTCCCAAGCTGCCCGAACCGCAAGCGGATCAAACCTCCTCCACACGGGCCTCCTCTAGCTTGGCCTCCTTCTCATTCTCCACGCTAGTCTGTGAGGTATGCAAGAGCTTGCATCCCCGGCAACTGTAGTGCCCCAATTTTCGTTCGGGATTAAAAAATCATTTAATAATGCATTTTCTAGAATTTAAATAAAAATTAAATCAATTTAATCAAGAGAATTATTGAGGAAATTAAAATTTCCTTTAAAAATCATTAGCCGGGAATATTTTGTAATATTCTTTGTGCCCTAATATACTCTCTCAAATTTCCCGCGAATTTTCGCAGCTCAAGAAGTAATTTTAATAGCACAAAGTTCATTTAATCAATTAGAATATAAAGAAAACCAAATAAATCTCTCCTTCCTCCCTTGGGCAATTTTCAGCTCAAGCCTTCCTTCTCTCTCCCGCGGCCCGCGCGCCTCCTTCTCTCGGGTCGGCCCAGCTCGCTCCCCCCTCCAAGTCTATTCCCCCCCCTCAAACCGGTCTCTGCTCTCCTCAGGCCGACAGGTGGGACCCATGGGCCCCACCTGCCATCCCCAATCCCCAGCCATCCCAAGCCCAACCACGCCATGCCGCCATGCCGCCCACGACGCCGCCGTTTTCACAACCTCTCACTCGCGCGCTCGCATCCAAACCGAGAGCAACCGCAACCCCTCCACCTCCTCCACACTCTCCTCACGTTTCCCCCAAAAATCACGCCGGGATGGAGCTCCATTTCGCCCACGATGTCGCCCACGTCGCCGGCCGTTGCCGCCCCAAAACAGCCACTCCCCGGCCTCCCCGTTGCTCCCTCGTGCCATAAAGAGCCTCCCCGTGCAAGTTTTTCTTTTTTAAAAAAAGAAGGCAATTACATAATAAAGTGACAACATGAGAATTTGCACTCAGCACTCGATCAGCAGCTCTTGTAAGAACCAAGCATGCATGCGTGCTTGCTTACGAGATATTGTCAGCAGTTAAGGTCATGCATGGCTCACCCTGCTACCCTTCAATCAGCAGTGGTGCCTCATCACAGTCATAGCGATTGCCCGCCGCCGGCGCACTGGAGGCGTCTTCCTCTGTCGTTGATGCCAAAGTAGTGTTGACGACGATCAAGCTGTTAAGGGCAGGCAACGGTCCGTCACGCTCCAGGACATCCATAGCTTGCCGCATAGAAGGGCGGTGTTGAGTCTCCAAAGCAGAGCACCAGAGCCCCAATACGATGACACGCTCTATCTCTCTCATATCAAGGCCACCACCAATGGTTAACCTTGTATCCGCCGCCTCGACAACATTGCCACCTCTTCGGTATAGGTCCCAGATTTGCTCCCTGTGCCTCCTTGCGCAGGCGATCTCGAGAAGGGCGATGCCGAAGCTGTACACGTCTGAGCTACGCTTGAACGGGACCTTACCGTGTTTCAGACACTGTGGATCAAGGTACCCTTCCGAGCCTATGGCAGTTGTCAGCAACGTTGCATTGTCTTGGTTTGCCATCCTCGATAGGCCAAATTCGGCGAGCTTGGCGTTGAAATTTTCATCCAAGAGTACATTGCCTGGTTTGATGTCTCTATGCAGGATATGTGGGTCGCACTCGTGATGTAGGTAGAGCAGACCCGATCTAATGTCCTTGGCTATTTTGTACCTGTTTGATCGATCATGGTTAGATAAATACATAGATTGACTATAAACATTCTTAGTTAATTTAATGCCAACAGAAACCATACTTTCAAAGCAACATATATATATTATAGTGGATTTTAGTGTTGTGCTTGTCGGTTTTTTAAGACAAACCACAGTAGGATGGTAATTTATGATTTGTTAACACTAGTACAGATCCTTCTATCTGTGATGGGCTCTAATCTGCTTAGAAATAGCGGCCCGTCATAAGAAAGTCATCTCAATCGGGCCGAAAAGTGCCCGATTGAGATATGGTCGTACAGACATGTTAGATGGGCATAAAACTTAAGCCCGTCATGAATGACACCTATCAATGACGGGCCGTAGTTTAGGCCCGATTGAGATAACATTCCATATCTCGGCCTCAAGTTGTGGCACGTCACGGATGACCATCATCCGTGACGGGCCATAACTTGAGGCCCGTTTGAGATAACAACAGGCCCGTCACAGATGACTCATTAGTGACGGGCTATATACTTAATCTCTATCGGGCATTAACTAAAGCCCGTCACCGATGACTATTTTTATATTTTTCATATGAAATGTTTATATTTGTAAGTTGACTATAGGAAAATAATTAAGTGCAGTATAATAATTCATTTTATGAGTCAAAACAATTTTACGGGTAGTAAATGATTTCAAATGGAAAAAATGTCAACAATAAAGTTGTATAACTTATCAAGATTTTCAACTTTTAGTTTGGTCATTTTTCTATATAACATTTCTTTTGAACAGTTTGAATTTAAATTTGAAAATATGACAACTTCAAACAACATTTTTAAATACTAAATGATTTCAATTGAAAAAGTCATCAACAACAAAGTTGAATAACTCATCAAGTTCTAAAACTTTTATTTTTGTTATTTCTTCATCCGAAGAAATGTTAGTAATATTATTCACAAATTTTACATATATGTGTTATAGTTTATAAACGAGATAAGAGATATGTCAATTTTGCGAACAATGTTACTATCACTTTGTCGTATGAAGAAATGACCAAAATAAAAGTTTTAGATCTTGATGAGTTATTCAACTTTGTTGTTGATAACTTTTTCAGTTGATATATTTTTGTATTTGAAAATGTTGTTTGAAGTTGTCATATTTTTAAATTCAAATTCAAACGGTTCAAAAAAAATGTTATATAGAAAAATGACCAAAATAAAAGCTGTAGATGTTGATGAGTTATACAACTTTGTTGTTGATGACTTTTTCAGTTGAATCGTTCACTGATCTAAAATTCTATTTGAACTTTTCAAAATTTGAATTTCAAATTGTATAAATAGAGTTAGATGGAGAAATGACCGAAATAAAAATTTTGCACCTCGATGAGTTCTACAACTTTGGTTTTGGTGACTTTTCCATTTGAAATCATTTAATAACCCCAATTTGACATCCTGGGCTAGGGCTTAATAGGATTAATAGAATACCCATACCAAACTTGTTGAAAAGCCTTTCTAAGATTCTCCATCTTCCTCCCTTGGTAAGAACCCTTCGACTTGTTGTTGTTGGACTTGTTGTTGTTGGTCTTCTCACCATCTTTGTCTTCTTTTTTGCCTCTCTCAAACTTAGGACAATGCGAACGAAGATGATCAATTGAACCACATTCAAAGCAACGATTTGGACCACCTCTTTTCCTGTTCCTGGCATTATTCATAGCTCGAGCAATTCTGTTAGCAACCAAAGCCAAATCCTCCTCCTCGATTTGTTCGAGTTGATCATCGGATGTGGCATTAATAACAGCAAGAAAAGACGACTTAGATGAAGAGGCATCAATATCCAAAGAAGAAGAAGAAGAAACCAAAGCACTCGATTTAGAATCAACTTTTCGAGAAAGAACATTCATCTCATGTGTTTTCAATTTAGTATAAAGTGAATCCAAAGTCAAAGTATACATGTTAACAGACTCCTGAATAGATGCAACTTTCATCTCCCAAATAGACATGTCGAGACCATTCAAAAAGTGATGAGAAATCTCAGATTGTGGATAATTAGCATCATAAGAAGAATCAACAGATCTAAGATCACTCAAAATTTTATTAAACCTAGAAAGATAGTCATCCAAAGCTTTTCCAGGTTTCATATCAAATTTAATGTACTCCTTTTTAAAAAGATCTCGACGAAGCTCTTTAATGTTATTTGTTCCTTGATGAAAATTACTCAAAGCAATCCAAATCTCATGAGCAGTTTGAAGATGAACAACACGATCATAATCCGAACAAGAAATACCACTCAAAAGAATGTTGCGAGCTTTGCAATTTTGTTCAAAAGCAGTTTTTTCAGCAGCAGTATTAATAGCTTCAGGAATCACATAAGCATGAGAAACTTTTCTCCAAATATCATAATCTTCAGCCATAATATAAGATTGCATCCTACTACATCAATGAGAAAAATCCGTTCCATCGAAAACATGAGGCTTAGTTGAAAACCTAGCGGGAGTAGCCATGGCAAAAACTCTAGATCGGTAAAAATCCAAAGAAGAAAACAAGGCTCTGATACCACTTGTAGGATCGAATCACAAGAACTAAGCCAACCAGAGGGGGGGTGAATGATTGGTATACCCAAAAACTGAAAACTTTTAGTGGAAATAAAAGTTACCCTCGAAATCGAAGAAAGTCGGTCTGACCGAGATTGATCTGCCGGTCTGACTGAGTGGATGCCACCGGTCTGACCGCCGAGATCGCCTGCTGCGCCTGTCGCCGCCGCCGGTCTGCCCGCCTGTATGCTGTCGGTCTGACCGCCGCTTGCCGCTGGCCTGTCACGCCCGGAAATTCACTAGTAATTTCCGAACTTATTTGTGCATAAAATCCTCGTCCAGGAATCAGCCGAGGTACACAAACTGACAATTTAATATACAGATTCATCAAATTAACTAGAACGATAAATACTTACTTATGAGGCACTTAGTCCTCACCAAGAAGAAAACTGCAGCGGAAAATAAAATCTAGCGAAGCTCCAGCTCCACTCCCACAGGCAGCTCAACTGGGGTATAAGCCAAACGTCTTCTCCTTCTGGATCCTTTTTCTTCAACTGAGGTTGATTGATTATTGCAAGGTGAGCATATGACATACTCAGCAAGCCACACAGCAAATATGCAAGTGCACAAGGATACCAAAGGATGGCATAATATAGGCTCATTTGCAAAAGCAGCATTTAGCAAAACATTTAAAAGAAGTAAAACAGTGGAGTAATTAATCAGAAATTTTAATCAACACTGAACAACACGCCCATGCTGCACAGGCCCAACCATTCTAAACAACCATACCCGGCTGAACAAATCTAACTCCAAACCAGGAGCTAAGCAAATTATTACCAGGTATAACATCCATAATTATTGTGAGAGGTGTGAGACTAATCACGAAAAACATTGCTCAACTCGCCCATAACCGCGGGCACGGCTATTCGAATAGTTTTACTCTGGCCAGAGGTGTACCACTGTACCCACAAGACACAGCCTCAACATCATGTCTACCATGCGTCGCGATACTGGAAAGTACCCGAATAGAGGCTGTGACAATACCCTCTGCACAACACAACTCACCACAGTGCACCATTCCCGGATCATAGTCACCCCCTTATAAACAAGGTATGGACTCCCCAGCGACCCCCGTGGGCTTATCTCCGCCACTTCTCAACCTGGTGCTCTGCAGTGAACCATGCTATACAAAAGGTAAAGCCGTTGCCCACGCTGGTTTGTGGTTGGCACGGTTAATGTTTCACAATAGTAGCTCGCGAACCGGTCCTTAATTGTCATGAGCACGACTCTCAAAACCATGTGCTCACAACCCACCATTATCCAGTTTTAGTTGGCAAATAATTAATTAACCAATCACAAGTAATTAATTAACCAATCACAATTGACCATCGTGAGCTACCATTAAATATAACCATAAGTGATAGTGAAACATTAGTTATCCCAATTGTGTGCTAATGTTTCTAAGCATGGCAAAGCAATTACCTCTAATATCTAGCTGAACCAATATATAAAGCTCAACTAGTCAAATTATAATCTCCCAAGGTAACAAGGAATAAAGTAATCAAGAACAAAAGGGCCATAACAAAGAATAGGTTAATTCCACCCAATGACATTCGAAAATAAATGCACAGTTGAAATAAATAGAGAATTTAAATATAGGATCAACATGCTCAAAGGATTGTGTTTAGGATCTGTGTGACTTGCCTTGCAATAATCGGTCTTCAATTAATCTTCTTGAATACTTCCGGCGCACTCGCGAACCTTCGCAACGACGGAAACGACAAGCTAACACGCAAAATGAAGAAAAAGACTAATAAAAACCAAATAAACAGTACATAAAAAGTAAACAAACATGTAGATCATAATTTTAGATGATTTATGAGACTTGAACGGCCTCATTCTGACTTCAAATGAATTTATTATGAATTTTACAAGATTAAATCTATTTAAAGCCCATTTAAAAAGAATTAAATAAATTTAATTCAATTTATGGACAATTTTAAAATGTAGATCTTTATTTTACACAACTTTTGCAACTTGAACCACATTAAACTGAGTTCAAATGAATTAGTTATGAATTTTTAAAGATTAAATCGGATTAAAACACTTATATTGATTTTAATTGAATTATGACGCCATAATGAATTATTTTTGAAAAGGAAAAGAAGGATTATTGCGTCAGCGGCTAGGGTTTGCGGTGGACCGGGTGCACGGCAGCGGCTCACGGAAACGAACGGCCGAGATCAACCCTATCCAAAACGGACGGCCGAGATCAAACGGTCCACGACCGGCTTACGGCGGACGATCCCGATGACGTCAGCGATGACGGCAGCGATGACGTCAGCACCGGCGGCGACTCGGGCGGCTCGGGCGCGCATGCTCGCCGGCGAACGACGGCACGTCGGCGCGAACGGAGGGCACCAACGGGTAGAGGGCGACGCGGCGAACTCACCGGTGACCAAAACAACGGCGGAAGGGCAACGGACGGCGCCGGCGACGAGGAAGAAGCGGCGGCGGAGAAGCGGACGAGGACGGCGGCGACTTGACGACCACGATGGCGGCGACGGCGACTGACGACGGCGGCTGCAACGGCGGCGCGACGCGGCTGAACCGACGGCAACGACGGCGGCGACTAGGGCTACGCGGAGGCGGCGCTAGACGCGACGGCAGGCTAAGGCAAAGGTGGCGGCGGATAGAGGAGAGCTCGGGGGTCCTTTTAAAGGGGCTAGCGAGCGGCGATGGAGGCCCACGGCGACCGGCGACGGCGAAGGAAAGCTAGGGTTCGGAGGAGAGAAGAATCCGATTCGACCTCGATTCCATCGAGTTTCCAAACCGAATTAGGTGACGATTCCAAAAGAGAAAAGGAAGAGGGAATCAAGAGGATCATTTCCCCTCTATCAATTCGGCCGGAGATGGAAAG